GCTAAGTAGTTCGGCCAATCTTCATCCAAGTTAAATTCGGAAGATGAAACATATATACGCTTATGGAACGAGCGGTATTTCCAGTAAGATATTGACTAGATTCTACATACCTCCTATACTTAAAACGGCTCTAGCAATGGATGCTATCTAGTCGGCTCATTGAGGATATTACGGATGCGGTATGTGAAGGAATAGTGTGCCACGACAAGGTGTGAGAGAATTGCGACAATGAATCTTCGCCATATACTTTTCAGATCACCAGGAAGGAAGATACCGCTCCTCAAGATAAACGCAATCATCTTGACAGCATCGTAGGTTCCCATACGCACCGTCCAGCAGATGCTGAACGATGCGAAAGACTACCAGATCTACCGAAAACAAACGAATTAGGATCCGTTGGGGGTGTGCCGATCACATATACTTCACCAGCCAGCTAACTACTCAAGTCACTTTTTGTAGCGGACAAGATACTGACACGACCCTAACATCTGGTGTAATTTCATTAGGAGATGCCCTTGAAAACCGGCATATTATGTGCTACTATACCATTTTCAGTAGGACGCACGTATGTTATGGCTTTAGCGCCCCACAGTGAAGTTCCGTCTGGCGAAAAATCCAACTGCGGCAGGAGACTTTTGGGCTAGCACCTTTGCAATAAATTCTTGTCAGGCCTGTGCAAGTACATAACAAATTGACACTGGAACGGGAGGCACCTTAGGTCAGAGCCATCCGGCAGATCCTCCTAGCAGTTTTGGGGTGGGCACGGCCTGGACTAACCTGTCATGGCGCCAACTTTCCTGTGGGCCTCCGGTTGGTGGACTGGAACTCATATCATTCTTAGTGTTTGGTTCGTTTAAGTAAATGCAATGGCCCGTGTCTATGTGGATTTCCATCGCCATCGCTGTAAGAAAAGCTTAAGTAGAACGATAGAGTCCGGACCCCATCACCCCACCTCGCTCTATCTACACACACGCACACACACCTCTAGGCTCCATACAAACCTTCTCCACATTGCGCGCATGCACGGGTTTCTAGTAGCACATTCTGTCACTCGTCTGCGGCAAGCACGCGATCCACAGTACAAGCTCCAGTATGCCGCCGAAACACCAATTTCCGGATCATGCACATCTCAAGTAAGTGGGAAAAATGTCGTTTGATGTGTCCTACATGAAAAGGGGACTATATCAAGTGTGGAAAACATTGATGGGCAGTATGTTATTACCTAAAACGACAAGGGAGACTGGAATGACCATTTCTGGCTTATTATCCGTCGTCAGCCAGTCATACTCAACACCCGAGGCTCGAACTCGAGACCTGTTAGTTAGAAGTCCAGGCCTCTAACCACTGGGCCACGAGCCCGTTGCCCTGTCAATTTCGATCGGGAATATACAATGGTAGGGGGCGCTCACCGATCGTTCTTACGGAACTCACTCGTTCCGTTGTGCCTTACGGCGCCGCTGTACGGCTGCTGGTTGGGCTCGAGAGAGGACCCGCAAGGCACAACGGAACGAGTGAGTTCCGTAAGAACGATCGGTGAGCGCTCCCTACCATTGACGGGCAGTTTAACTCTGTTAGCCACTGCGCCCAACTCAATCACCAGTCGGGTGAGAGGTTCGGACAGTAGACTGGTGCATGGGAGAAGGTGTGAGGCCGCCACCGGGTAATCCATCTCCCCAACGCATCAACGTATTGTTCACTATAATAAATCTGACACACTTGAACCTATCATAACGGACTAAGTGTTGTGGCTCGAAGGTTAGAGAGCTGATGGGATAAGACGGTCCTCCACAGAATCGAGTGCAAGACTGCACCGGCTCTTTTGTGTCAGCTATGACATTCTTAGCCGTGGAAGTTCCCACCGCCATTTCAGTAACTTGACCCGCGTTGTCTGTACCAGGTCTTGTGTTGCATGCGGAGGCGGGATGTTTAGCTTTGTCAGCCACTGCTTAGGAGCCCAGCTCCCTGCCTTGCCATCGGAACTAGGCGGGTAAGGGAAGGGGCGCGATAGGTGCTGCGCAAGTCTGTCGGACTACAAACGACCGCGAGTTACTGGTGCTGAGTCCCCTCCGTCGGGCACATGGTGGACGTTATTGCTTGTGACGGTCGAACTGTCGGTTCGTGAGTCCCCCGGAACGACACCCAGTAGCTTCGCAACAATTCATAAACTAATTTAAAGATGGCTTCTATGTCTTTGCTGAGCCAGGAAATTGTTGAATGTCATTAGTTTACCTTTCCTGAACAGCGCTGACACGGGTTCTCGTATTTTTTTGGGCAGGCATTAGTTCATTCTACTAGCGCGGCCCACTCCACACACAGGCGTGTCCTGAAGTGGTAACCTGTACTTTTCAACAATCGTCGAATCCTCGAGGCAGAGGAGAGTACCCAAACTTCTCTAACATGGGAGGCCAAGACGATCGTCCCTCTACTAGCTCCCCGGATGGGTTCATTTGGTAAGGCAATATGACAAACAGACGTCAATCTGGGTCTCATCCGTTCTTCCTAGTCATTTCAATCACAAATCGCTACGATAAACGAGTTGTACTGCGTTCCAAGCTAAAAGGAGCTAAAAGGTTAGTGTACTGTCCTGACTGCTTCTTCTCCATAAAGGCTTCCGGTTGTCTGATTTTGTGAATGCCTAGTGGGACAGCCAAAATTGAGTCAAATCGTATTCTTTCGCCTTCTGGTAGTGTCATCAGACGTGGTCGCAAATGTACTCGCATAATGGCCGCAGAATTGGAGTTGGCTGATGCATTCCTCTCATTTACAGTAACCGGCCTATCTCATGAAATGTGCTCTCGACTAGAAAACATTACTTAGGTGGTATTCAAGTACTGATTATCGTGCAGCATAACCGCTTGATATTTCAGTCAAGCCAGGATGCCGGCTTTTGAAAGGGCTTCCTTCCGACCACCTGCAAAAACTGCTCGATAAATAATGACTGCTTAGGTAGTATGGATTTTTTCTATTGCTCTTCTATGTCCTTATAAATTCAAGTATATTTTACAGAAAACAAGCACAAACATAGCCCTTCTGTACCCGCCTGATGACAAAGCATGTGTCGTTCAAATTTTACGATTGAAGAAAAGGTGTCTTACGGTTTTAGATCTTCTGAATTCTCGAATAAACCTGAGCCTGATCTACCGTTGCATTTGCGTTTGGGGTTGAGTCTACAACTTCTATACTTTCCATGTAAGAAGAATCATACATTCTTACGTGGCACTAAGAAGATACCATATAGGGTTCATAAAACTTCTCAATGGATGTGGAACATTTTGCATGCTTCATAGGCGGCATCAATAAACGGATAGACGCAGTGCTGCATGGACACTTTGTTGTCTTAAAAAAATCTCGTAACAACAAACTCTTTTGAAACTCACTCTTTCATCGGGCATACATACTTTGAAGACGCAATTTGCTACCAGATGAGTGCAAGAAATATCCTTGTGCGTGATTTCCACGGAATATATTTTAGTTTATAGAGGCATCGAAAATCAATAGGAAAAATCCATGCTACTTAAAAAGCCATCTTATTTGGTGTGGTTTGTGCAGGCGGATGAAAGGTCAATTCAAGAGGGCGTCCTGTCATGACTGAAATATCCAGGGGTCATGCTGCGGGATAATCAATGTTGCTGCCCCACCTAAGTAACCCTTTCTAATCGAAGACTTCAGAAACTCGATTAACATTTTATGAGACTGGCCAGCTATTGTAGTTCCACCAGTTGACCCATGAAGGTGTTCTAAACGAGTGGGTCCAGACATGCTCCATTTATCTATGAGTCGCGTCTATCTGTCCATCCAGTTATCTGTCGAATTGGAAGTGAACGCTCTAAGTACACCTTCGCGGTTATTCCTTTAGTGTCTTCTGCTATTTCAAATTCGTGACCAAGGTTTCCTATGCTGGCAGTTTCAGCACGAACCCGTTAGTGAGGAGTGATGTCATGAGTCGGCTATCCTGTGGTAATGTGAATACTTCATACCTAAAATTGAGCACGCTGGAGTGCTTGCTACATGAATTCTTGACAAACAATGCGGTCAAAAGACACGAGATTGACACATTTGAGGTCTCCGAAGTTCCGTTCTGTCGTTAACCCATCCGCCTTTCTACATTTACCGGTTTCTGGTGGCAGTTGGTCTAGTTTAGAGGTAGTCTTTCCCCGTCCATCAGCTCTACCTTCTCCCCCGATGCACAACTAACCGAAAATACCAGGGTTGAACAGCTGCTACTGAGTAGAAATTAAATGTCAAGAAGGCGAGAGAAAGTCTTTGGAGCGATTACATTAACGTGCGCCTGATTGTTAACAGCATGACATTCACTTGCACCATCATAAGTGCACACTGTGTTCTGTACGTTTAAGAGTTGCAAAACCGACACACGACTGATCCCATAACTAAAAAGTGCTACTGAGAAAACGTAGGAAAGCCCATCTAAAAGAGCAACGCCTCATGATATCGAAATGCGACGAGATACGGAGATTAGAGAGGCCTCTCTAACGTTCGTTTGTCCATAAAAATTTGTCTATTTTCCAGGGCCAGTCAGTCAGACGCCAAAATGGGGTTTAGTAACACAGAGAAATATGGAAGTTCCGCAACAAAGTTGAAGGATGAATTCTGAAAAAAAAACCTCAAAAAACCTTATCTCTCGACAATGCATATTTATTCTAACCTTACTGATTGGAATATTAATCATCTCAGCGCGATGTACTAAACGTACTGAGACTGACACGGTATTTTACGAGCAGACCGGAAAACTCACGACGCCATTTACAGCTAAAATATTGGTGCTGATTACCGGTCATTGTGGAATTGGCGCATACAATGAAACTCATTCTTTGCAGTCACATCATACCGGTGCACATATGATGACGTTCAGAACAAACTGAGGTGCTGCGAAGACAATGCTGCAAAAATGATGACCTACAGTAACGAAGAAGAGGGGAAAGAGAGCAAATAAAAGTTGCGATTACAAGGTCTTTACTTAAAGTACACGTGCCCGCGGAAATTTATACAATATCTGGAAGTTGCCTAACCCCGTCTTTGTCTACAACGCGGACGACAAAACGGTCCTGTGTGATAACGAAACGCTTCTGCAGTTCATCAATGCAGGCCTTGAGAAGGTGTACGGCGTTTGCCTCCGTCATTTTGGCATCGTATTTGCTGTCCAGAATGCCTAGAGTAACCAATCCACCGTGGCCATGGACTGCATACGGTACCTAGGCGAGAAGGAAGCAAGTAAACAGAAGACAGAATTGCGTGGGGAAGGAGATGACAACACCAAAGACAACGAATTAAACCAGACTGGTTTGCTGAGTTGCCAACTGTTTGATTGTGAATGTGTTGCGAGTAACCTTAGCTAGCAACAATCAAGGCCAGAAAGTGGGCTCCGGCATCTGTTCCGATAAATGTATACTGCTCCATTTCCCTAATTAAATTGAGCCTGCCCGTCAGTCGACCGGCCGGCACGCCCACGGGTTGCAGAGAGTGAAATGGTTTTAGACAAAAGGTAGCTTCGGAATAAGTAGATGTTCGCGTTTGGTGGATAAGCAGTCGCCGACATACGGCAGCTGTGTCACGGCACCGGAGGTGTGAAATGTGGCATACAGACTGCCTTGTAAAGTGCCGCAAACGAGGGAACTGTGACCTGGTAATCGTGAGCTGTAGGTGGAAAAACAACATAACGACGAATGATAAGGACTATAGAAAGATCATCTGTTTCGGCTTCCTTCGACTAAACTCATGTCACCCCTGCATGCATAATAATGAGTGACTTGTGACCCAGCGTCCAGTTGGCCAGAATGTTAGACTAGGAAACAGAATGGAATCAAGTAGGATTATCATAGCATAAGTGAACACATCGACCGTGTCTCGGCGTCTAAGTGACTATCCAGCCAATTACGAGGGACTGCGGTGACATCTAATTTTAATATATTTGCAACTGCGTGGTAACCAAGCGCTTTAAATTCCGTATCCCTACACGTTTGATATATCCATTTGTTGTTTTTTCCAGCGGTGTGTTTCGGGAGTGAATCCCAAACGCTGACCTAACAAAGGTCTTGTTCCAGAGACCAAGACTCCTTTTTTCATGTCCAAAACTGCTGTCCGATGCCGCAAGCGGTCTCCGGGTGTGTGCAGCAAATAGTTCGGACAGTAAAGACAATACAGGTACTCGGATAGTTTATGTCTACAGGGTTACTTGAGAAGGACCGTGGGGTGGTCAACTTTCGGGTCCGTGTATCGGAACTGACGAAATGCAAGTGAAGAAGACCGTACGGCTGACAGTCGAATAGTATCCTGGTGCCAAAGAAGCTGGATAAACGATGCGCACCTTCATTGTTTTAGTCGTCACCTTGGTGATCACTTCAGACTTTCTCAGATTATTATTAACTATGCAACAGGAATTACTGTGCACGCAGAAACCTAAAAAGTTAACTAAAAACAGTACCGTTGGGCATGGAAAATAACTTCTAGCGAATTCAAAAGGAGCTGCACGGCGACTGAGCACCTTTCCACTCACCTTAGATAGTCTCGCTCAGAAAAAATCACTACTTATCCTGTGAATGTATTTTCAAAGTTTCTGTACTTTATCGTTTTACCGACGGAAACATTAACAAAAGGGTTTTTTGTAGTTTTGTTGTGGAGGCGTATGTATCCATGAAATATGGTATTTTAAAAGGCCTTGTGCATCTTCTTTAGCAAAAAATTCCGTAAATCACATGGTCCTAGACACAGAATAAACGACTACTGAGAAACATATCAAGTCGCCTAATTACCAGTTAGAAAATGTGCACAAATGGACAGCTATCCACTACGATGGGAGTCACTAAAATGACTAGCGACATTTTAATAATAGTTTTACTGAGCCTTCGTATGGGTACTGCCAATACTCTACCAATACTCTATAGGAAGATTAGCTGACCATACATAAACCCTTGAAGACGGTAGAAGCAAATGCAATAAATCTTTCGGTCATTGTTGGAGTGTGGGATGTGTCGTTGTGGGATTGTCAGTTGTGTTCTGGGCCATAAGGGTAATTGTTGTTAGCGGATTATACGCTGTAGGGTTAGTTGGCACAATCTTTCGTCAGTGACGCCTATTTCAACAAATGTACTACCACGTATTTAGCCCAGGATTACGAGACCCGTGATTAGCGCAGGGGGTCACGAAAATATTCTTAAATGCTTCTACACGTGCGGATAATAGTGAAGGGAAAATGACACTACTTGCTAAGAATCACCTTGAGTGCTTTGCACAGCTTGGAATATTGAAGGAATTTCGGACGCTGTCGTCAGTAAGTATCTGGAATTGAAGACTTGTCACTTATGCCTTGTAGGACATAGGACGCAAACTAGCAATCCGAGTCGTCACATCTATCGAGGACAACAACAACTTGAAGAAAACGGTACTTGCTCTGAAGGTGATCTCAGTGGAAATCTTTCTGGGCAATTCCCGCATAACTTTACAAGTCGCCGTTGTTGCAAAAATACAACGCCATCAATTTCCGTATATTCCGTGGCCAAAACCGGCAAAAAAATGATCGAGCAGTTTCGCAGTTGGCTTTTTGGTAGTGCAAAACATAGTTGCAACTACTTTATGAAATATAACCGGGGTTTCGGCAAAAGGAGAACAGGAGAAACGGTATGATGCACTGATTGACTATTATGCTACCAGCTACGGAGGGCAGAGATGACTGGACTGCAGTGGATCTGACTAACGTCAGAGTTGTCGTTAGATTCAGAGGCATGCTTGAGGGACGGGTATGGAGTTCATCAAGCACGCCTGGGTATTTATGAGAGTCCCGTAAACGTACTACCATCATCTGGGAGCTTTAAACCCATTGCAGACAAAACAGTAACTTCCGAAGGTGCCAGGAGCGACAATCATAGATCAATCTGCAAAGTAGGCATCAGCTAGTGTGCCAGTCTTTCAGGAGTGCGGTCAGGGAAATTTGGTATCCCGCCACTATGGTGTACCACGCCATTACGGGACCCCTGATTGCCGCCTCGGGTAGATGGAGCATGAACGCAATGAGTTAATTCAGCCGGCCAATCGCGGGTCCCTAAACGAGTCGCACGCTTGGTTCAACTTTACCTAGGATAACAGGCGCACGTCTGAACCTTGAGAGGGCCGCCCGTTACTGAGTCAACACTTTTGGGTTCTGTACGGAAAACAACACTCTAACTGATTCTTTCCTTGTCCTTTAAAGGGGGATTCGACTAGAATAGCGGTCGAGGCATATCCGTCACCTGGGTCGCAATAGATTGATGAGCCAGACATGAGGATGTAATGCAAGAGATCATGCAGCGCCCTTTGCAGCACCTGAATAAGTCAAGCCCTCACCCCTGGAAACGAAGTGTGCCACCCTAGATCACTCGTTGAGAGGTGGAATCCGAAACCCACAAAATCACTCGACGAAAGACGAAGTTCAATTCTCTACGGCACTGCCTATCCGAAGAGTATGCCGGGGGCCTTTATGACTCCATCCGTAACCTTCCCCAGAGATACTCCAACGAGTTGATTGACCCAACAAAATGATGTGCCACCATCTCCAACTCCTTACGAGTGAATATGTCGATGATGAGATGCTGTCGCAGCGGCTAGGGCAAATACAACAAGTTGGTGAAAATGTGTTCAATAACTCTATTCTTTGGTAGTTGTTCCTTTAATATTTCCAAGAGGTTTAAATAGTCTAAGCGAATTAGCAAGGTACCCTTGAAAAGCTAGCTGAGTTCGCCAACAAAATAATTTGACTCGGGATCTTTGAAATCAAAGCCACGAATCACATAGCCAGCCAGCTTTCTCAAGGATGGGAAAAATGAGATCCGGACCTCCACCGGACATTTCAGGGGCTTTTCATTGTCGTTCAATTTTTCTTCCCCATACTGAGAGATGACTTCTTAGTATTTCGAACTCCTAGAGGTTTAAAGAATTAATGACTCGTCATTTACCCGATGAACCTTTACGTTTGCTAACAAGCAAAACTGGAGCCATGGTTCAGTCCAATCATTTTCACGCCAAGTTGTGACTGATCTTGGCGCTTCCTTCTCAGATAGATTCCTTCACCTGACCAATCCACCATTTCGGGACGTCGGCATTAAATACGCAGTCACCCATCACCACCGAGAGCCCGCCATTAGCCCGCCTGCTTCGTCGCCTAGTTTCGAATTGCCTTAACATTGGAATTACAAAAGCCGCTTACGTGCTTGGGTTGGCGCCGTCCGACGGCTTTTAGGCACTACCCTTACGTTTTTTCGCAGGCGGCGACATAAGACTGTGCGGGAACTGCCAGGCACTGAACTCAACGATAATTTATCATCATTCATGGGCAAGCAAGACTTTACTTTGTCGCTGCACGGCAAATAGGTCAGATTTAAAATCGAGCTGGTTTGTGTCTAATGCCAATTACCGATCAAGACCAGTGATATGCAAAATCCGTCTTTGCCGCCAGTTAAGGGTTGATTTAGTTCCCTTGAATTATTTGGTATGGGGATTGTCACAAACTTTCCAAAGCTTCATTAATTAGGTTCCGTGCGGTCCAGTTCTTGCTCACACTGATGAAGTATTGTTTACTGGCCTTAACCCCGCCAGTCAAGGGATCCATCCTCGACAACCCTTAGTGGCAGTATAACCCAAATCGTACAAACTTGTTGTATCGAAAATGAGTTTTTGATTGTCTGAACTATGTCGCTTTCCTACCCTGTATTTCTGGTGGCCTACTCCATATCATATTAAAAAAAACTTTAGAGGTTCCACGTTTTCCAAGTGCTTGTGAGACACAGCATGATCAGAAAAGAAGAATAGAAACTACCTGATGGGGCGACCGCACGTATGACGTCACAAAATATGCGGCGCGTGCAAATTTACGCACGCTGTAAGATTTCTTAATCAAGTGTTAGGGACAACGCCTCTGAGGAAAACCAAAAAAGAACAAAGTGGGATGAATGAGTAATGCATAACGAACAGTCGCCGCGCGAACTTAGGGCGCCGTCTACAAAACGGGCAGCACATCAAAAACAGTGCACGCATGAAATATTAATAAGAAAGGGAATTTGCCGACATACTTTAACCATTGACGCCAAGTAATCCATGTAATACAGTTCCGGGCCTGTCTCCGGATTGTATCCGGCAATTAAAAGATTGACCATGTAGGGGTGCTACAGGATATCATGATCAACGGGCATACATACCCTGCTGCGAAGTGCTTCAGCCAAGTTTCGCCTCGTAAAATGAGCGGCCGAACTAGGGGACAACTCATACCCTGGGCGTAAAAATATTACAAAAGAACGAGAAGTACCATTCCGCATCTCGTACAGTTGCATATTCTGTTGGATGTATTCAGCAAACTGAACAGTGTCGCCCGGTTCGCCACACACAGACATCAGAACACGATTGCTTAGTTTAAACATTTTATCGACATCCTGTTTTAAGGTAATGACAGAATGACCGATTCTCGAATCGGAAGCCAAGATGACAAAATCATCGAACTTAATCCCGACTAGGTACTCCATCGGCAGAGTCACCAGGTACAACAAGCGCGCTTAAAATCGGCTTAGTTAAAAGTAACAGAAATTTCCCTTTCAACCTTGCTGAGCTATAGTAAAGTCTAATATTTGCTGTCCACTTTTTTATTTAACATGATGTAAAATTAATTAAGTGGCCATACATTGCCTACTTATAGCGCGACCTTATGCATGTGCCTGCACGGTTGCATTGCCCAAGCCAGGTACTGGAACGTTCAAAGGGAAATTACTTGAAAAACAGCTAAAAATGGGGTGACAAACGAGTGATCGGAGGGTAAGCAATACCAAAGAGACGATTCGTTAAGGGATAAATATGCCAACAGATATTTTTTTCACCTTAGCCGGATGGGTGCACTAATTCGCTCAATAGAGAATAAAGCCGTTCGTATTCGTTTGTTGTCCTACTTACTACCCTCACTGCGATTAACTCTGTAAGCCGAAACCGGAGCAGAGCATTTAAAAATTTACTTGAAACTAATTAGGGAAACAATGTTAGATAGCAAAGCGGTAGGCAGGTAAGAAAAAACAGAATAACATTACCGACAAAGACAAGGGAGACTGGGAGTCTCCCTTGTCTTTGTCGGTAATGTTATTCTGCCTATGTATCATGCGCCGCTGTGCGGCTGCTGGTTGGGCTCGAGAGAGAGTCCATAAGGCACAACGGAACGAGTGAGTTCCGTATGAACGATCGGTGAGCGCCCCCTACCACCAAGAAAAAACACTTCACTATAAAATACTGGTCATATTGAGAATATTGGGACTCAGTCTGCACAAAACTAAGTGTGTGCCACTTAATTGAACAGCCGAAATGACTAGTACGACAGAAACAGGAGACATGCCGCCTCGAATTGGAACTGAAGTAGGAGAAGGTCAATTATGCGGGCAAATTGTCCAGTTTGTATGTGACTGAATATAATGTCGGAAATTAAGCTAAGGTGGCGGTTGCTGGGCTACGTTCTTGTCGAGAGGCGAGACGGCGACAACAGGTTTTGGAGAAGAATGTTCTGTTATGCCGAGGACTGTGAGGACCACAGTCCTGTCATCTGCAAGGGGAGGTTTCGATCCCAACCTCTCAGGAGACCACAGCGTATATGGCAGCCAGGTTATTTAAATACCCTTATGTTTGATGCATCTGATTACCGTAGAGACTTCAAAAATCCACTGACAAATCATGTGGACGAAGTGCAAACTCTGGAAAACAAGGCGACTGTGGAGTCACAATATCGCCAACTGCGAGGAATCATCCTCTCCGCCGCCACGAACGTTCTTTGTTGCGCGCACCAGCGTCGGTTTGACGAATGCAACGTGGGAGTAATATACCACAGGCACCGGAGGAAGAACTATCCGCACGCCATCTACGCTAACTGCGGGACCAAAACAAACAAAGCAGCCTTCTTCCGCTCTCGACACCTAATGTAACAACGGCATCAGATGATGCAAAAGACTTGGATTGATCGAAAGGCTGTAAAAGTACACGGTTACGCAGACTAAAAAGACATTCGGAATTTATTCGCTTCATACGCGATAGATTACGGCCTTTAAATCAATAAGTGAGCCGTTGCTCAGCTCCGAATTAACAACACTCCTCATGGAGATATCACAGATTCTGAAGCGTTGGGTTGAGCACATCAGAATCGTTCTCAACCGGTCGTCCACAGTTTTCGACGACGTAATCGACGGGCTGCCGCAAGTGGAACTAAACGCTAACCCTCTCCACCCGTTCCCGCCGCAAGTGATTATCAAGGCTGTTCACTAGCTATCTAGCGGGAAATCACTCGGAGTCGACTCAGTTTCCTCCGAAGATTACAATTGTGGCTGCCACCGGTTGTTTGATAATTTCCCCCCACGTCCGTCAAGGATTCGAGCATGTGACCACAACTACAAACGTCAGTACAACAGACGGATCTGTTGTGTTCAAAGAGATATCTCCGTCATCAACACTGCACGAAAAGTTTTCGTTCGCATCCTCATCCATCGCCCGAATAGGCACTCTGAGCAAGGACTTTACTCCGAAATTCAATGGGGACCCAAAAGTCATCGAGGAATCGTGGACGGCATGAGCGTGATCATTTTATTTTTGAGTGTCCAGAGGGCACTATCCGGACAAAGTTAATAATAAATCAATTGGTATAATAATTTGCTGTATATAGAAATGGTGTGTCTGGGTCAAGCTTCAGTGACACGAAGTCTACCGCTGGGTTCCTAACAGCGAGATTCTGACGATCAATGGTGCATACAAAGGTGTCCAAGGCCGGCCTAGAATCGGGCGCATCAGATCATGCTCTCGAGCTTTTAGCGTCTGGAATGGGTATCGAGATCGTCTAAGTGATTTTGTTCTTTTCCAATCCTACCGATGGCTGGCATTATACCAAAAGCGCGCACGCCGTGTGAGCGCATCACTAGGACGGCGCGTGAGCGCGTCGTTAGGGCAGCATGGGGACGAGTCGGTTAGAACGGCTCCTCCTAGAACTTCCACCACTTGAGTTTAGAGGTAGGATTTTGGCTGCGGTTTTGCTCGCAATGGCGCAGTTTACGTTATTATTCGGTTTAATCGTCTAGGCGGTTGACGAGATCGTCTTGACACCGGAACAGCGGGTTTTGGCCTTTTCTTGGTCAATCGAATGCCTTCATTAGGTTTGAGCCTGGATTTTGCACGTCAGTGCATTCGGTGAGTTTTGGCTGATTGGCGTGGCGCACTCGGATGTCCGATCCGAAAAGAAGCTCGTAGATGATATCATCACACTTCCAGTGGACACGTCCATGCGTTCACTTTTCCTGATTGCTGTTGTAGTCATTTACCAGCACACTCTCACCCGGATGGATGCACTGAATACCGTCTCTAGCAAAACTTCTTGTAAGACAATTTGCAATGAAATTCTTGACTTCCGTCTAGCTACTCGCCTTCTTAGCTCTAATCGCCATCGATTTTTACCTGAACGATCCTGCGGGACTTGCCACTTGACATTTCTTAATCTAATCAATTCTCTTCCCAATGAATAGCAATCAGTGGTAGTTATCTACTTCGATCTTAACAAAGCCTTCAACAAGTTGCCCCAAATATGTCTTTTGGTAAAATTGGAAGTTCTCGCTATCCGGCCTACTCTACTCGACTTCACCGGGTCCTATCTATCCAACTGATGTCAGAAAGTCATGGTCGGTAACAGCTACTCGACACCCCACTCGATCACGAGTGGCGTACTTCAAGGCACGGTTCTGGATCCGCTACTCTCCTTCCCCTACATCAGTGGTATTTCTACTGAACTCAGAAAATCGCAAAGTTTTATTTATGCCGATGATCTCAGTTGTGTTTACTTGATAAATTAATGCTTGTTGGTCAAGCATTTACTCGATATCGGTGACAGGCATAACTGTTATGCAAAAACGTGCATGTTTTCATACGTCTACCTGTATACAGGGTTTCCCAAGGCGCTGTCTATACCCCTCATAAATAATGATTTACATTCTAACGACACCGCAAACGCTTGTGTTGCAAAAATGAATGCCGATTTACTACGCTTAAGCAGATGGAGTTCAACATGGCAGAAGGTGTTTTCATCATCCAAGTGTAGTTTCATGTCTTTTGGTTCTGTGAAACGTCCTGACCCATAATCCTTCAGAATAACCCAATCTCAGAATGCTTCCCCATAAAGAAGCTGGGCTTAAGGTATACAAAAAACTTGCTTTATCACCTCATGAAGATGGAATCTCTGCCAAAGACGCGCAGGTATGTGGATTCATATCGCATAATTTTTTTCCATCCGGAAATGAAAATAAGACTTTATCAAATTTTGCACTTCCTGTCCTCCAATACTGCTGTCCTTTCTTTGATTAAATGAACGCCTGTAACTGCAATAAGATCGAAAATGTTAAGAGGGTTCTCACCCGGAAACTGTTCTCCCAAGCTTCGTCCGGTATTTCTTATACTCAGAGATATCAGTTGGCTAACATTAAGTTTTGTTGGCTAGAAGACTCGAACCTGGGCTGTGCTTCCTTTTTTGCATTAACTCTAGCTCCATTCTTTCGCTTAGTAACACTCACGCCGAGAGACCGGTCTTATGTCACGTGCAACTCCTCCATTGTGATTCCATCGCCCATTTGCACTCAATCTAAGCGCTCCCTCTTCTTTGCCTTCAAGCATGCCTCCCTTTGAAATAATCTTCCTCAAAAAATTGGGTCATCGCCTAAGCTATCGGTATTCAAATCGAAAATACGCAAACAGATTACACTGGAAGGCATAAAGACACTTTTAACCGTATCATTCCCAAACACTCAACTTCTTGACCTCGAGAAGGGTCCTCCTGGGATTTAGTGGTAGATCAAGTGATAATCCTCAATTATATCTCAACAAACCCCTGTTTTGAATTGGTTGCTAAGTCCGCTGCTATCACTCCTCCACCATAGCAACGGTCTTCACGCTTCTTGATGTCATCTCCCCATTTGGATTTCAAGCGGTATCTTGATGCTCACGGCGGAAACCTCTGTATTCGCCACCTACTAGTAGCTTGGTCGTATCTCCTTGCCAACTCCTCGGCTGGGCTCGAGTGGAGCGTGACCGATCGCGCCTGGGTTCCTCTCGGCTTGCCACTTTGACGTTTCAATTGGGATATCAGCGTTGTCGAGATATTGCGGGGCTACGAGGGGACAAGATTCAATTGAAAGCACAAGCCTTTTGCTGTCAAAAATGATGTCGTAACAGAAGATTTGTTAAATGGTAGCCTGCGCAATGTGACTGATATATAATGAACAAGTTTCAGCAAACCTCATTTCTAGGTGAACTTACTTGTCCCTTGTTTTGAACGCTGTTAAAAAGAGATGATAAGGATCACACTCAGAGTGGAGCAACTGTGGATCCGCTGCGTCTACTCCTTGTTCTACAGGCTCCATTTACGTAGTCATATTTGAAGAAAACGTTTTACGATAAACATCAACCGGTTTTATGTATACGCCCCAGGTTACGTGATAACTAACATAACAGCAGGATGACAATT